CAAGAAATGTAAAAAAAATCACAAATAATCTAACTGTACACCTAAAGGAACAAGACAAGAACAAACAAAACCCAAAGTTAGTAGATAGAAGGAAATAAATGAAATAGGGCCTAAAAAAAATGGAAAAGATCAAGGAAACTGAGAGTTGGTTCTTTGGAAGATAAAACTGATGAGTATTTATTTAGAGCCCTCAAGAAAAAAGGATTCAACATGAGAAGTTACAACCAACACTACAGAAATAAAAAGGATTATAAGAGATTACTATGGACAATTATATGCCAGCAACTTGGCAAACCTTGAAGAAACAGATGTATTTCTAGAAACATACAATCTTCCAAGACTAAACAAGGAAGGAAGGAACAGAAAATCTACACAGACTGATTACTACTAATGAAAGTGGATCAATAATTTAAGAAATCCCAATGAACAACTTTCTAGAACCAGATGTCATCACAGGTGAATTCCACCAAACACTTAAAGAAGAGTCAATACTTGTTTTTTCAAACTATTCCAAGAAGAGAAAAATAGAAGAGGAGGGAATTTTTCCAAATTTTAGCAAACTGATTTTAAAAGTACATAAAAGGATCATTCACAGGACCAAATGGGATTTATTCCAGGGATGTGAGGATGGTTCATTACCCACAAAGAAAAAGCATAATATACCAGATTAATAAAAGAAAGGATGAAACTATGTGATCATCTGAATAGATGCAGAAAATGTATATGACAAAATTCAACATCCATGCATGTTAAAAACTCTCAATAAAGTGGGTCTTCAGGGAACACACTACAGTATAATAAAGGCCATATTTGACTAACCCACAACTAACATCATAATGGTAAAAAGCTGAAAGCTTTTCCTCTAAGATCAGGAACAAGACAAGGATGCCCACTCTCTCCACTTTTATTCAGTATAATACTGGTATTGTTGTCTGACAACAATCAGACAAGAAAAAGAAAAGGGGCTAAATTGGTAAGGGGAAGTAAAACTGTCACTGCACATGACATGAAAATATAAAGAAAACCCTAAAGACTGCACTAGAAAGTTAGAACTGATAAATGTCTTCAGTAAAGTCTCAGGATGCAAAATCAATATACAGAAATCTGTTGTTTTTCTATATACTAAGATATATCAGAAAGAGAAATTAAGAAGATATGAACATTTATAAGTGCATGAAAAAGAATGAAACATTAAGCAATAAATTTAACCACAGATGTGAAAGACCTACACTCTAAAAACTAAAACATTGATGAAAGAAATTGAACGTAACACAAATAAATGGAAAGATATACTATGGTCATGTATTGGAAGAATTAATACTGTTAAAATGTCCACACTATCCAGTTTCACTGTAATCCCTATCCAAATACCAATTGCATTTTTCTCAGAACTAGAACAAATAATCCTAAAATTTGTATGGAACCACCAAAGAGCTCAACAGCCAAAACAATCTTGAGAAAGAAAAAGCTGGAGGTACCACATCCCAGATATCTACATAGCTATAGTAATCAAAACAGTATGTTATTGACACAAAAATAGACACATAGACCAATAGAACAGAATAGAGAACCCAGAAATAAACCCATGCTTATATGGTCAATTAATATATGTCAAAGGAAGCAAGAATATACAATGGAGAAAAGAGTGTCTTTTCAATAAATGGTGTTATGACAACTGGACAGCTATACACAAAAGAATGAAACCAGACCAGTTTCTTACACCATACACAAAAAATAAACTTGTAATGAATTAAATGTAAGACCTGAAACCATAAAACTAGAAGAAAATGTAGGCAACAAACTCTTAGACATTGCCTTATCAGTTGTTTTTTGGATATATTTCCCCAGGCAAGGGAAACAAAAGCAAAAATAAGTGGAAGTACATTAAAAAGTCTTCTGTACAGTGAAGGAAACCATCAACAAAATGAAGAAGGCAACCTGCTGAATGGGAGAATATTTTCAAATGATATATCCAATAACGGATTAGTACTGAAAATACATAAAGAACTCATACAGTTCAACACCAAAACCACAAATAATTTGCTTAATAAGTAGGCAGAGAAATTTTTCTAACGACATACAGACAGCCAACAGACACATGAAAATATGCTCAATATCACTAATCATTAGGGAAATGTAAATCAAAACCACATGAGATATCACCTCATATCTGTCAGAATGGCTATTAGCAAAAAGACATGAAATAACAAGTGTTAGAGGGGATGTGGAGAAAATGCAACCCTTGTGAATTGGTAAATAACAGAAGTAGAATCACTGGGTTATAACTGTGTATTTACCTAAAGGAAATAAAAACACTATGATACATGCACTCTTTGTTAATTGTCTTATTATTTACAATAGCCACTATATGGAAACAACCTGTTTCCAACAATAGATGAACAGATAAAGATTCTGTAGAACATATATATAATGGAATATTACTCAGCCATACAAAGAATGAAATCTTGCCATTTGTGACAACATAGAGGGACCTAAAGAGTATTATGCTAAATGAAATAAGAGAGACAAATATCATATGATTTCACCTATATATGGAATATATATAATTCTTAAATCATTATGTTGTACACCTGAAACTATTATCACATGTCAACAATTTTTAATAAATAAGAGAAGTAGAAAACCAGAACACCAAACTGCAAAATATCTGTTGTAAGCAGAATCCCAAATGGCACAAGTTTTGAAAATTTTAGGAACATCTTCAAGAATCCCTGAAATGTTATCATGCAGTCTCACTTCCCAGGTGGGTATCCTGTGGGCATGTCAGGAACCCAGGAACCAGGCCTTCAGATGTGAGGTTTGACTTTGCCCTGGCTTCACTGCAAAATTATCCTACCAGCTACATATCCAGAATTATTTAATTGTGGGTTTTAATAACACCAGATGAAATGGATTTGAGGCAATTAATTATGCACTTAATTTTAAGGCTCTAATTTAGACTCTAAGAAAGGTGGATTCAGACTAAATTATCCAATTTGGCTTCACAGCATAATCACACGGATCATAATGGACTACCCACCCACATTATGCGCGTGATATAGACCTGGTTGTTAGCGCAGGAGATAAATCCATAGTAACAAGCATATGATAATATTCATTTATAAATAAGGCATGGCATGTAGGTGGTTTATTAAATAATCCAAGCCCTAAATGAACAAATTATTAAATTCTTTTCTATATTTAAAAAATAATGAATAAATAGATATCGGGTAACCAGGCATTTCAATATCTAGGTTAAAATAGCTGGCTTCTCTAACTGTAGATTAATGATACCAAAATAAAATTTAAAAAAATAATAATAATAAAATAAAATATTTACATAAAAAAAATAGCTGGCTTCACATAAACTTCAAGTGTCCTCCTAGGGGAACCACTCCTTATTTCATAACTGAAGTTTGTTCAGATTTCTTTCAGATCATAATTTACATTTTAGCCTTTATAATCTGAATATTCCCCCATCAAACAAAATAAACAAAAAGTACTTGTTCATAAGGATGATTCAGATACGTTACAGAAAGGAACTTGAATATACTTTTTCTATTTATATTCTAGTTTCTATTCTGCTTAGTAATCTTATTTCCCATAAAGTTGCCAACACACCGAGCTTTTCCCAACCCCTCTTCTCTGTCTATGACTGCTAAAAAATCCCTATTTTTGCCTTCCTAGTTAAAGGCAACAGTCTCTTTGTTAACCACATATTAATTCACAACTAGTGTAAGGAGAGGTAAGCCTGCAACGGCTGACCAAAGGCCCATTGCCAAGTGTCATCCAAACACAGAGCAGCGAGCTACAAAAACTGCTGAGAAAGAAGAATCATAGAGGTCAGCTGACAATACAAAACAGAAGGAAGTACAATTGCTTTAAGCTCAGTACAGCAAGGCTGCATCTCACACCAGAGATGTGAAGGTAGGCTGTATAAAGACAATGAACACACTCCTGAAGTGAAGAGAAGGCCAAGTATGTGGTTTTTCTTTACTTTGCCTCATTCCTATATTTAAGGAAAAATATGATGCTGTCAGTGCCTGTTTCTATTTAGTCTTTCTGATTTAAAAGTAACATGATCAACTCATAAACATTTACTAAGCATTTATCTTTCTGAAACACAATGAGTGATGAAAGGTATTCAAAGAGAGAGCTAGCCTTTACGCTATGAGTAATTTTAATAGTCTGATTTGACTATTAACTAAACACACATTTACTATTAAACTGAACACACAGTTTAAAATAGTAAGTTAACATTTATTGAACTACTATTTAAAACAAATTCTATATGAAATTTATGAGCCTCTTCAAAGATGTATTTGCTTTCCTGCCTATTTTAACATTTGATGATGAGATGATGGCTTTTTCCTGTAGGACCAAAATAAAGTTTATCTAGGATGAAACTATGGTTCTCTCTTTAGAACCATACCATAGACAAGCAAAATTAATTTTTTAAAAATAGAAACAAAGATAGAAGTGTCAGTAGTTTCCCCATAGTATAATTTCATCCTAAGATTCTTAAACCTAAAGCCTAGAATCCTGACTTTATTCAGTTATAGGATTGGAGTTTATTTCTTTGGAAACACATTGATGTCAATAACATGAACGCAACTCAGACTTCTGACGTATGTAAAGGTTTTTTCCTGCCTTCCTCCCTCCCTCCTTTCTTGCAACAGTCTTCTAAGCTCTAAACACTAGAATTGCAAATAGGAATGAAATATGGTTTCTTCATAGTAAGCAGCATAGTAAAGTGAGAGAAATAGGAGTAATGTTGTCAGAGCTTCCCAGCTGTAGGGCACACACAGTTTGGGGAGCACACAGCAAGAAGCCACTGTTAGATTGTGGGGTCATGGAAGACTGCTCAGAGGAGATGATGCTTAGATTGATTTTTAAGTTAAATGGAGTTAGCTAGCTCGAGGAGAGAAACAGTGTTGAATGCATGATTAATATTAATTGATACCTAATACATTTGTGTAACAGCTACTTAGGCCACTTACCTTTCACCGTAAGTGACACTGAGCTCATCTAGAACCCCACTGAGTTTAACTTGAAGTTCTTTCAGGATCCCACTAGCTTCAGGATCTAGCTGCAGAGAGACCATAATCAGTATTACTTTGGAGTTCTAAGAAAGCATGCTGTTGTTTCTCTGAGAAACATTTTACTTTTTTAAAGTATACTTCAAACACTGTAACAAACATATGCTTTTTTCTTTCCTTTTTTTTACATTTGAAAATGCAAAATTTAGGACGTTCTAAATAAACCAGATGAGTTCTTATACATGAAAAACAATTCATCAAAATGCATAGCATGCATAGAAACAAGAGCTAAATAGCAAAGCCTTCATTGGTTACAGCAATGGGATGCAAGGCAAGACAAAATAACTTCCAGAACGTGGTAACTTTGTAACTTAGAAAATTTAACATGTTATACATCAGTTGAATATATGTGTTGCTTCAAAATATATTTTAATTTTTCATACCCTTGTAAATAAACACAGCCATTAAAAATTTTAAAGTGGTAAGAAAAATTAATTTTTGAGTATTGTGTCTTACTTGAAGATGTTTTCGCATTTTCTAATTGTGGAATTAAAAGTAATAGGAAAAAGAAATTACCCAACCATTCCAATGTTGCTCTGGAGGTAACAGACCTAACTTCTCTTACTAAGATGCCAATTTGCAACTCAGAGTTCAAGATTCAAATTTTAAGTACTCAAGTACTTATACCTTGAAGCTAAGCTATTGGGCAAATTTGGGGGCAAAGAAGAAATAATTAAATGAGATAATTTATAGTTGATGCTTGTTCTTACACGCAAACTTTAAAATTTAACTATTCTTTTTATGTGATTTTAGTTCTTTAAAAAATGTCAACCATTGCAAAATAACTTATACTATAAACAAATACATCAATCAACTTGGCAGAACATTTTTGTACTTAAGTGCAAAAACTTTACCAGCACTTTAGAAAATTTTATGTTATTTGTTAATTATGTTTTTGCAAACTAGTTGTCGAAAAAGGATGATTTAAGATGGATGTGTTGTGTCAAGTTGACAGGAATTCATGTAAAGGGAAATCTAGAATATGCTCTGAAATTACATCACTCTTCCTATGAGTCTTTAGAAATTCAATTTTCTACCATTAATACCTACAGTTCTTGCACAAGCTAAACTACTATTGAAAAGTAGAGGATGGGGTGAAGACAGCTTTTAGGAGTAGAACAAATTAAAGGCAGTCTTAGTATAAATGGGAGAACTTAAGAAGGACACTGGAAAATAAAGAACCCAGTATCAGTTTGAACTCCTGGGAGCCAGACTAGGACCTAATAGTGTCCCTGGGGCACTTACTTGCCATAAATCCTGTAATCCTCCCAGGACATTTTCTAGTGCTATAAGACATTATTATTAGGAAGAAGTACTATTTATGTACCTCAGCAGCTGGGTAGTTCTGATTTGCCTTAGTATAACTAAAAACATTAAAATGGGTATAGAAAATTATATTTGCTTCTGACACTTGATTCATTATATAAAACCAATCCTTAATATCAGCTTTGACTGCAATCCAGATGATTTCAGAATTGGTTAGTTTCTGCCCCTCTATTGAGCTGATGTGATTCTTCTGGACTCTTTACATCTTTTTTTCTGTCTATCATCAGATAAGCTTACAACGCCTATTTACAGACACACAGGCCACCAGAACAAATGGAGACTTCTCCAAGGAGCTGGAAAGTTAGAATATTCTTGAGTCTCATGCTATGAGAGTTCCATTCAGCTATAACCAGTTGCAAGGCAGTGAGTGATTCAGAAAGACAATTAGATAGTATTTATTTTACGAAGACCTGATACTAATATGCATTTAAACACAATTAACCTAATAAATTATAACTCCACAAACCTTAACCAAGAAAACATGTGGATTACCCACTGCGATCCTAGGGAACCGCACAAGTTGAGTGTATCATTATTATGTTATCTTGCCACTGCCCTACTAGCAATTTTAACCTGATTTTATTTGAATAAAAATGTTGGGGAATAGGGAATTAGAGCAAAGCCCCCTGATGGTCTTCTTCAGACTCCCCTCTCTTTGGTAATCCCTGTGGAGGGATAAGAGGTCATTTCCCACCCACACATCCACCCCCTCCAAGGATATGGCTCCAAGAGTATGTATGATTTTCTTCAGGAAATGGGATTGCTTATTTAAAATGTATATTTTAGTGTTTTCATGTTAGTTTGATATACACATTGAGCCAGTGTGTTCACTTGTTAGCATAATGACTTTAAAGTCATACAAAAATGATTAGATAGGTCAGCTCAATGAAATTATGTTATTTTCCCATTTGTTTTTGTCCATTTTTGGTATTTTGTGAATGGAAATTTTTTATGAAGTAATTGGTTGTTACTTGAAATTCAGAAATTGTCAAACTATAGCAATTTAAGTATTGGATGACAGTTTTCATTTCCTGGTAGAAGCATGAGTTTCTAAGCAGTTGCAGACAGAATGCCTCTGGCATGTAACCAGGGCAAAAAAAAAAAAGGAAAATTTTTAGTTTCAGTTAAGTATTTTGATGTTTATGTTATCCAAATCATACTATAAACCATTAAATAAGAACAGTGGTTTTGAGGACAATATACAAATTTCAGGTCTTATGTAATAATAATGGGCCTAAATATCACACTCATCTAATTACAAAAAAATCCTCTGTAGTCATCAAATTTATCAGTACTTGAGTTTTGCATTTCTTTATGTGCCAAAATTGATGAAATTTTCCTTACTCCTGAAAACTCCCCAAAATTTATAATGAATAATAATTTAGGCTTTGAGACTTTATTGCCTAAATTATCAAAAGCATACTTTACAAATTTTTGGCCATTTTGGAAAGGTTAAAGTTTACCTAATTTTTTTTCAGAAAGGTTTAAAACTTAATCTAGTTCTATAATTAATATGACTTCAACATCAAAATTAACTTGAACCTTTTTTTGTATCATTATTTAGTTATTATTCAAAGCAAAATAAACAAGCTGAAAAGAAAAAAAATCCTAGCATTCAAAAGTCACAGTTAAAACTATTCTAAATTACAAACTGAATTAGCATGTATTCCTGAACAACTTGACTGGCAAAAAAGAAAATACTCCATGAAAATTTGACATTACTCAAAGTCAAATTCTGAATTTATAGTGAGGTTTTCAATACAGATTTCGCCCATACTCTAGTAAAAGTTTGGGAATTCCAAAATCTAGGCTGGTAAACAGAGGTTCTGTTGATCAGAACAAACCATAGTCATAAAAGGTAGCATTTGAGTTTTTATGCCATGGAGATATTTTATACTCTTGACCTATGGTAATACAAATGACTTTCTGGAAGAGACAGCTAGCAGACAAGGTATCTTTGAAGTTATTGCTCCGTTAGTCTCGCACTATTTTTCCTTTGAAAGACACATCACTTATCTCCTCCTTTGGCAATTCTTCCCCCAGCTGATGTTTGCCCCAGGCTGTTAGTAGCTCTAGCTTCTGTACTGACTGTGCTGTTTGCTATTACTGTCCATACAGCACTCTCTTCTAATTATTCTCCTCTTTGGACTGATATTTTGCATTGACTATTAATCGAACACTTTTGCATTTGAAATCTTTTCCTTAGCAACCATATATTTTGGAGTCACCAACTTAGTCCTGATTTCAAAGTTTTGTCTCATTGCCAAACCATGTCAGACTATGTCTTGATCTTTGTTTGGTTCCAAAAATATGGTTACCAGACCCACTCTGCATGCTCTTTTCCAGTACAGATTCTTTCCCTAAGGTACCAAAAGGGGATACATACTATTTCAGCCTCTTACAACAGCAATTGTTAATCCAACCACCAGGCTCTTGCTAGAGATGAACTAGTGGGTTGGAAAGTGGCATTTAAAGTCCTTCCATAACTCAATACAAACTCTTGAAAAATAAGGATCATTTTAGAAGAAGTTGAGACCCTTTAGGGTGAACTTTTTCCTTTCCCACAGTGTTCATTGCTATCTCATGTCCTTTCTCTTTTCTGTGGGCTATTAGGCTGCCTTTCTTAGTGTTCAGCTCATCAGTATTAGGGTTCCATTGTTTGTTCATCTAAAGAAGTACAGGTCAGGCAGGGTGATCACTCTCTGGCCCTCATCTGCACAGGGTCTAAAATTTGATGATTAGTCTTGTGGGTTTCACACATTCTTCAAAATTTTTGCATAAAATTCTTTAATAAAGGCAAACTCCACCAACTGTTTCTATGAAAAAGAAAGCTTCACTTTCACGGGAAACATTTTTCAACTTGAGCTCCACGTTTGGATTTTATTCCATCAGTTATCCCTCTCTATCTGCAGTCCCTCCACTGTTATTTTTATTACCCCATCCTAAAAATGTTTCCAAATATTTATGTTAAAATTAAAAAAAAAGAAATGATAAAACAAAACAACGTATTTGGAACTACCTTCCCATGGTAGTTCCAAATAATATCTTCTAATACTATCTCTGGACCTTCAAACTACTCACAACATTACTATAAAATGTTTTGCCTCCGTTGTCTCTTAAATACTCATTTATCCTCTGTAGTGTGGTTTCTGCTATGGATATTTCACTGGAATGTTCACATATAGGTCACCAATGATGTCTTAATTGCCAAATCCAATGACTTTATCCTACTCAGCCTGCATTCATACTGCTGTTAATTTCTCAAGCTCTTTATTCCCTTACTTCTCTGCAGTCTACCTTCTCCAAGCTATTTTTCCGTCAGATATGTCTACCTCTTTTGTTGATTTCTTTTCCTCTGGGATCCTTAGATATTAATGTCCTTCAGTTTTCCCTTCCCAGTCCTCTTTTGTTTTTTCACTCTATATTCTCTTCTTGAGCAATCATCCATGCCTCAGGCTGCAACGCCCATCTTTAGGCCAATGACCCTGAATCTGTTATCTGCAGCTTTGACAGAATGCGAAGCATCATATCCATATTCCCATATGCCTATTAGCCTTTTCGCTTTGATGACCTCAAGTTCAACATATCAAAAAGTGAACTTATTATCTGTCCATCCTTATTTTTCTTATTGTCTTATTATTTGACTGATAGTATATAGTTGTTT